TACGATGCTCCCGCAGGTGGCTGTCACGATCGGGTCCTCGCCGCAGCATAACAGGCTTTGACTTGACTTGTGAGTGAAGGCTAAACCGGGGCTGGGTTGAGAAGGAATTGTACAGTGACCTTTTCTCGTCCGAATATAAGTAGACTGTACGGCACCCCACACTACTAGTCTAATCGTTCAGGGCCGTATATTCGGTTTTGTCGGAGTCGGATGAGATTCAGGGGGTCAGAGCTTATTCTTGCAGTTTGCACGTTTGGATTTGGAGGTTTAAAGCCAGGGCATGAGTTGAATCGCGCAGCTCACGCAGGCCACTGGAGGCCTATCTTTGTCCTTTCCTGGCATACTTCCGCAAGATCGTCCCCGTTCTACTCAGACGAGAAGTTGGTTGCCCAACCCCAAAATCCTCACGGGAGATGGACGCTGGCAAGCCCAACACCTTGAAAAGAGGACCAGACATGTGATCAGGAATGGCCGTGGTATGCTGGCGAGGGCAAGCCTGTAGTGTGGGCAGATACATCCATGGTTCTGGGGTTAATTAGTGGAGTAGACCCATGAGAGGAGGCCTAATGTGGGCAAACAGAGAGTTCTGGAGATTAGTAGCAGTCGTCGTGTAGTCTCTTGAGCGGGCTGGGCCTGCATGGGCGGTGCTTCTGCTGAGTTTAAAGGATAGGTACCGGCAGCTACAAATCCAGGCTTCAGGCTTGCATCGGCTTCAGGGCGAGGCTGGCGGCGTCTCGTAAAGGAATCCTTGTATGAACTCCAAGCCCATAAAAACTCTAAGCCCCAAACCCTATAAACCCCTAAGCCCTAAACCCAACACCCCGAACCCATAAGCCCTAAACCCAAAACCCCCAACCCAAACCCCTAAACCCATAAGCCCGCCAAATCAGGCCGGCCGCAGTTTCCTAGCCTGCCGGACGAGGCATCCCTGAAACTGCTTCCTTGTATAGGGTTGCTGTAAGGGTTCATGACAGCCCCTAAATGGAAAGGTAACCCCCCTGTGTAAGAGGCAGTTTACCATTGAGAGTTTGCATGGCAACGTCGTACTACCAGCACTCAGTGGTTTAGAGTTGAGGGTTCAGCTGTTGCGGTTTAGGATGTGAGGACCTTCCAGAAGCCGCAGGAAGTCCACTTCGCACCATGTACCGCTAAACCCTAAACAGCCAAAACCTAAACCCTCAACCTCCCCCGATAGCAGCAGAGGCAAATGACGAGCTTTCCGTTGCAGAGCTCACTTCAGCGATCAGCTCTTACGGCAGAGGCTGGCCGAGCACGGGAAAATATACATTATTCGTATTATCATCATTATTATTATATATGTATAAAGCGCATTCAGGGATCTATAAGGGTTACCGTTAGCGCTTATTTGTAAAGGGTCACTATGCGGAGGACCCCCCTGATGTCTGACGGAGGTTACAACCATCTTCAGTAGGTCCTTAGGCAAAGCTCGCAGCCAGCAACAACAGTAACTAGCACTGTCCTTTTAACCTGTCGTGCTCTTCATCAGCAGAGACTATAGAGCTCTGATTCAAGAGTTTGCACGTCTTGGGCCCCAAACTTTCCATTTCGCTGTACAGTGGGACCTTGGATATGTGCTCTTTCTTGGCCCCGATATCTCTCTTGTTGCTGGAAGCCCCACAGTCAGCCTCTGCTATCCCGCTATCTGATAAACTTCGTAATTACTACTACCTGCGATGGTTGTGATTTGAGTATGAGTATGAGTAGGCGTGATTCGGATTTCTACGATTAGCATTGTTTTGATTATAATATGAAGAAGAAGATGATGATGATCATTACTACAAGTCTAAGGATGATCATTTCCTCAAGGCATTTTTTTTTGGAATTCTGAGCTTGAACCCGAAAGCCCAAACCCTTAAATTCCTGAGCCTGGTAAACACGAAAGCCACCTCAGTCGTAATAAGTAGTACTAACCAGAATGATAAGGTTGATAGTAAGAACAATACTAGTAATATTAGTAGCAGTAAAAGAAATGTATAAAAAAATTGTAACAATAGTAGTAATAGACATACGTCAGTCGCTCCAGGACTTCGCTGGCGTCAGGCTGCAGAGTTGCTTCAGCGCCGGCTGTCCCAAAGTCTGCCGAAGCCCACGGCCGGGGACTTGGGTTGAGGTTGTTTAGGGTTTAGGAGTTTAGGGGTTCAGGGTTTAGGGTTTAGGAAGTTGCCGGGTCATCTTGTAGAACCCTAGCACAACTCCCGAAATGCTCCATGAAGACTCATGTAGGTCATATCCAAACTTGACGGTAAAACCTCTTTTTTTTGGGGGTTCGGAAGTTCTAAGTTTGTTCGACCTGGCTTCTCCAGGTTCGGATTTGAGGGTTGAGGGTTCATCCAGCAGAGTTGCTATTCTCTGTTAGTCTCAGTACAAGTAGTTCCAACACCACGAAACCCAAAGTTTGCTGTTCTTTCTGAACTGCTGTCGCCGGACTGACATGCTTCCACTTCAACCAGGATGAACGAGCCCACCGACCTCCGCTGAGGCTGTGCCCAAGCCCTCTAGCCCGGCCTGTAAAGGGCCAGCCCTGAAGCTAAATTTAAACTCGAAGAGTGAAGCAGCAATGCTGCTACCACGAAACACCTAAATCAGGAATAGCAACAATCAGTCGCAGAGTGGGAGCGCATGTAGCGGTGTAGCGCGCTTATTAGTCATGTCAATACGGAGAGCAAGGGGAAGGAACCTGGCGAAGCTACAACATGGCATGTCCGGTTAGATGATCGCAACAACCTCGGCTGGCATAGTCCTAACTGAGTTGCGTGTCGTGAAAGCATAAATGGACTCCGGATGTGAACCTGAAGCCCCCTCAGCCCTTAAATCACAATCCCAAACCGGCCCAAACCCCTAAAAAGATCCATCCCTTATAGACACCCTGAAATCCCAAACCCTTCAGGTGGCGACCTACAATGCAATGATTGATGCCTGTGCCTGCAGTGGTCGATGGGAGCAGGCCTTGTGCGTCGACTCAGCAAGGTCTAAGAGTCTACCCATAGGCTCCTAAGTAGTTCCCTTTTTGTGGTTTATTTTTAGAATCCTATAAGGTAATCCCAAAAAGGAACTACTTAGGAGCCTATTGGTAGGGCACATGACGGATTGTTAGTATGCCTCATTGGGTGGGAGGCAAAGAGTTCCGGGTCCAGAAGGACGCCTAATGCTGATTGTTGTGTGGTGTGATGCGGTTCGGCTGGCTCCGCTTATGACCACGTCCAGAGAGAGATGCTTTGAAGGGGCACTGTCCGAAAAGCACACATTGCAGGAGTTTGCCACACCATAGCTGAGATTGAGTATCTCTCAGAGCTTCAGTAACAATCGTAGCGAGACGACTGCCGACGAGTCTGTAACAATGAATGTAGGTCGTAGTCAAGTCACTGTTGCAAGACTCTCCAGGATTCCATGATGCCGGATGGTAGCCAGGCACCTGAATAATCGACAGTGCTATCCCTCAGGGTTCCCTGCTGCAATCTTCGTTCCATATGTCTGCAAATGCTCTTTCCCTATAGTTAAGGTGGTGCTGCTAAGGCTTTGCGCACCTCTCCCTTTTTGAAGGTCCAGAAACCACAACCCACATACTGCTGGGAACGAGGTATTGCGGAGACTAGACAGAGGATATTGTTATGATTATTGCTCTTAAATTCCTCTTGTTTTTATTGTCATTATTATTGTTGCTGATTACTACTATTCTTCTTCTTATTATTGTGATTAGTATTATTAAACCCTAAACCCTAAACCCTAAACCTGTCTTAATGCTATGCACAGTTCCTAAGTAGTAGAGGCCGTCGCCTGGCTCCAGAATCTACAGCGGGCGCAGCTTCAGCCTTCGGCGACCCGGTGCTCAAAGTTGAAAGGCTGAGGTTAGACAGTTGAGGGTCTAGGGTTTAGGGTTTATAGGGTTTAGGGCTTAGGGGTTTAGGGGTTTAGGGTTTAGGGTTCAGGGGTTTAGGGTTTTAGGGTTTAGGGTTGGACGATCGGAGGTTCAGGGCATCATTTCGTGGGCACCAGCTACACAGTCGTATCTACCGTGGATATTTTGCCCCTGCTCGAATTCAGATATTGAGCAGCTTGTTCTGGTGATTGCCGAATGACGTTGAAACCGAAGCCCAGCGGTAGCTCAGGTTTATGTTCTACACTATAATGCTTAATCCCCAAAAAGTGGGGAAAACGAGTAGCAAGGCTGGTCGAAACTGCAGGAACAGCGAGATTACCAGAACTACGTTTACTTACATGACTCCTCTTCGTCTCATATTTGGCTCTATTCCTTGCTGTGGGAATGTTGCAACATTTCCGATGCCAGCGTGTCAAGGAATCTGGCCATCGACTTTTACTGGCGTTTCATGCTGATGAAGCCGAGACGACTGTCCATAGCTGTGTTGGCGGTTGTGAAAGCTTCTCTGAGCTTCGATGTGAGCAGGGCAATCTTCGAGTCTTCCTTGCTGTTAGGACTCTTAGGAGGGAAGCGAAGGACAGTCAGAAAGAGCAATCTTGCCATCAGGTCATCACTTACAACAGCCTCATCAATGCCTGCGGCAGCAAGCAGTGGCGGAAGGCAGCCCTGCAGAGTCCGCAAACCATGGAACGAGATAAACCGAAGACCACGCCGCACTCTGTTCGTTTTTCAAGTAGCCAAAAGCTGCTTGCACATATAGCTGCGGTTGCCGTCGGCATCTGTGTGTTCATTGTACCGTCATGAGACCTTCTGCGTTGTTGAGGCAGGTCTCCGGCATCTGAACCGGCCTCAACTCAGGATCCCCCAAGGTGAAAGCGATGGAAATGGAAGACCGTGGAACTTCAAACCTTAGTTGATCCTCACACCCGTGTCCCTGGACATGTGCCATAGTGGCTCGAGATCCTGGGATCGCGAAATCGGAAGTCTTCGGAAGGCTCTGTTCGGCATCAGCATGGCGCACGGTGCATCGTGCAAGTGCTCTTCGTGTGGGCGCCGAGGAGCAGCCCAGGCGCGCGCCTGGTCCATCCGAAAGCTGCGACACATGGTGACTAGCTGGCAGTTTGGGAAGTTTTTTAGACTTTCCCGTATGGTGCCTATAGAGGTACCTCTGTTCCTAAATAGTTTGAAGGTCCCCGACGTAGACGACCAAGGTGAAGCCGGGCCGCTTGGCAAAGGCCGCCCGTGAGAAGGCCGGCCTGGATCGGAAGGGCCCTCGCGCACCAACGTCGGAGGAGAAAGACGCTCCGCACGCGCTTGCCGACGAGGTGTACGAGGAGGAGACACCGATGAAGCTGTGGGCAGGGGCGCTGGGTAGGGGTTTCGGGGCACGAGGGTGGAAGGGGGAAGAGCCTTGCGTTTGCCTTGTCGGGTCACTGGGTTGAGTCTTGGGTTGCTCCTCCTGATGCTTTGGAGGAGGTGGTTCAGGCGGAGAACGACGGCGTGATGGATTGCGAAGAAGAGATGTTCACCGATCTGGCCGAAGCGATCATTCCCGTTGGCGACCGAACGTGGTGCCCCGAGGAAGCAGCGCGCAACGCGAAGCTCGCGCTGGAGGAAGCCGAGATGGCTGCCGCTGAAGCCGAGAGCTACTTAATGGAGCTGGACATGCTCCTCAAGAAGGATATCGGCGTCTGAGAGACTGGCACGTCATTGGAGACTGCAAGCTGCCTCAGAGGCTTATGTATAATGTAACAGCGTTCTGCAACGCGTTGATATCGAAGTAGGGTGCACAAGCTGCAAGGGTTCGAATGTGCCGGAGTGAAAAGTCTTGTTATGTCTTGTTTGGGAGCATGATCAGCAGGTTCGTTTCTGTAGGCTTGTCTCACTAAGACGGACGCCAACACGTTCGAATATGAAATCGGCCTGTCGCCTGAGTTGGCATGTCAGTTGTCCCACTTATTATAGGACGTAGGGTGTAGGACGGTGTAGGATTCCAAGGTTTAGGTTGGAAGCTACAACTCTGCGACATGCCGAGAAAGATCCCAAGCTGGCCTGTCCAGGACATGCTAGTTCCCAGAGGTCCAAGTCGGTCTAATGTAGAAGCCTGCATCGTTTGTATGTAGTAAATATGTAGCATCAATTATAGTATTTCCTTATTAGTTCCTCTTCTATGTAAACGTTACTGTACCCCCAAAGCCATATTCAAATCATTAAGGCCCCTGCCATGGGAGTTCTGCAGGTCAGCCCAGACATGGAGACACAAGACATATTGGACCCTTGGGAGGGAGGAACCCACCAAGACGCGCATGAGCTTGTGAAACCTATGGGTCTGCTTGCTAGGGTCATTTTCCGAACCTTGCTCAAACCCTTCTAAAGGGTTATGGAATCCGACGATGCTTCACTTGCTCTTGCGAAGAGAGAGCTGCCGGGGCCGAAGCATGAGTATGCTGAGTATACGAATTACCAATGACAAATGGGGGCAAGCTTGAACTTGAACCCGCAGAGCTCTGGTTCTGGCAGCAATGCCACTTGATCCGCGGCAGAACCAGTGTGGCACGAACGCACGTTCGCATATTGCTTCGCGTCCGAGGTGGATATGCGCTTGATCTGAAAACGCAGCTCCAAGACCACAGTGTCTGGGGAGTCTCCGACTCGTCCGTCCTAGAGACTGCAAGCTGTTTTCAGGGCCTAGGGGTTGAGTCCAGCAAAAGCTTCAGCCACAAACCCCCGACCAGGCAGGGCATGCACAATACGAGAGCGTGCTGCAACCCTTTGATATCGAAGTAAGAAGCAAGAGCTGCAAGGGTTCGAACGTGTGAGATTGAAATGTCTTGCTTGGGAGCATGATCAGAAGGTTCGTTTCTGCAGGCTTGTGTTTCACTAGGACGGACGCCAGCAGATTCGAATGCGAAATTGGCCTGTCGCCTGAGTTGGCATGTCAGTTGTCCCACTTATGTCAGGGCTTAGGCTTAGGGTGTGGGACGGTGTGGAATTCCAAGATTTGGGTTGGAAGCTACAACTCTGCGACATGCCGAGAAAGATCCCAAGCTGGCCTGTCTAGGACATGCTAGTTCCCAGAGGTCCAAGTCGGTCTAATGTAGAAGCTTGCATCGTTTGTATGTAGTAAATATGTAGTATTATGGTATTATCTTTTAGTCCCTCTTCTATATGTAAACTTCACTGTACCCCCCCAAAGCCATATATTCAAATCGTTCAGGCCCCGGGATTAGATTTGTCAGCCATTGCAGGTCTGCAGTTCTAGCCTTCTGTATGGTCATGTTTACCTGGGCAAGCAGGATTGGACTCTTGGAGGAATCCACCAAGGCCGTGCATGAGCTTGTGAGAGCACGCACCGTGCCCTGTTTGAATATAATACTATTTGCTAGGGGCCGTGTCTTGCACGTTCTGTCCGGGCTTTACTCAAGCCCTGCTAAAGTGCTATGAAATCCGAAGATGCCTCACTTGCTCGTGCGGAGAGGGAGCTGCCGGGGCCGAAGTATGAGCATACTGAGCATATCCTCTACGAAATTTAATACTGGCACAGGAACCCGTAGAGCTCCGGTTCTCGCAGTCCTTGCATCCCAATCCCACTTTGTCCCCGGCAATCCGGCAGAACCGGCATGGTGACAAGGCACGTTGCATATCGCTGAGGGTGCGAGGTGGAAAGGCACGTTAACCAGGCCGGCAGATTCCGGGTGACATTGCTTGTCAGCTCACTCCACGTCGCACGTAGATCAGTGATCAAAGTGCTGCGGAGGTGACAATGGTTCGCGAAAAACACAACTGTAGCTTGCTGCTGTTGGTCCATCGGAGATGGAGGGGTTTATAGCTGTTCGTGGTGGCTTTGTCGGAGTCCGTTGTTGTCGGATCGGCCTGACAGCGAGTGCGTTGGCTTCATGTTCCGTAGTGGCTCGAGCATTGTGAGATCTCGTCAGCGCAAGTCTTCGGAAGGCTCGGCCCGACATGGCGCACGGTGCCTCTTGCAAGCGCACCTGGTCCATCCGCATTCTGCGGCACATGGTGACTAGGTGGCGTTTTGGGAAACTTGTTTATAATTTCCCGTATGGTGCCTACAGTGTCTATAGAGGTATACCTCTGTTCCTAAATACTCTGAAGGCCCCCGACGTCTACGACCAAGGTGAAGCCGGGCCGCCTAGGAAAGGCCGCCCGTGAGAAAGCCGGCCTGGATCGGAAGGGGGGACATCGCAAACCAGCGTCGGAGGAGAAAGACGCTCCGCATGCGCTTGCCGACGAGGTGTACGAGGAGGTGGCAGGGGCGGTGGGTAGGGGAATTCCGGGGCACGAGGGCGGCAAGGGGAAAGAGCCTTGCGTTTGCCTTCTCGGGTCACTGGGTTGAGTCTTGGGTTGCTCCTCCTGATGCTTTGGAGGAGGTGGCGCAAAACGAGATGGAGATGGATTGCCAAGAAGAGGAGGAAGCGTGCCCCGCCGTGGGCGACGGAACATGGTCCCCCGAGGAAGCAGCGCGCAACGCGGAGCTTGCGCTGGAGGAAGCCGAGATGGCTGCCGCTGAAGCCGAGAGCTTCGCAATGGAGCTGGAGACGCTCCTCAAAGATCTCGGTCTCTGAGAGACTGGCACGTCCGTCTTGGAGACTGCAAGCTGCCTCAGAGGCCTATAGCCTCAGCCACACACCCTCCGCCTCGCAATGTATAATGTAACAACGTACTGCAACGCATTGATATCGAAGTAGGGTGCAAAAGCTGCAAGGGTTCGAATGTGCCAGAGTGAAAAGTCTTGTTATGTCTTGTTTGGGAGCATGATCAGCAGGTTCGTTTCTGTAGGCTTGTTTCACTAAGACGGACGCCAACACGTTCGAATATGAAATTGGCCTGTCGCCTGAGTTGGCATGTCAGTTGTCCCACTTATTATAGGACGTAGGGTGTAGGACG